AACTCATTTATTTTCAATAATTACTTTTTTTACATTCAATGTAAAAACTTCTTATGAATAAAATGAGTTTCGTTATTATTTAACAAATCATTCCCAAACTTTAATGGTATTCATAACTTTCAATATTTATTTTAATTACACCATTACACATAACAATTCAATAACTTGGCTTTTCTTAAAGATCACTTATCTAATTTACTTCTTAATTTATCGGGTTATATGAATCCTCGATTTTAGAACAATTTACGCGCGAGATATTCAAAAAGATTTTATTCGAAAGAAGACGATTTAAAAACCTACGTCTATTTAAATAAATATTACCTTAGGTTCTTTTAAGTCGTCTCTAAAAGTAACAGCAGTTCCAATTGTAGTTTTTTGTACCTAGTCATTAAATCAGCTACTTCTGTTTGCCCTAAATCTATTCGTGATTTAGTGATGCTTTCACTTTCTTCTAATGTTTGTCCGACGACAGTTTGTAGGTCAATTCCGAAGTTGACAGCTCTTATATCTAACCTGTTCTTCAATGAATGTGTGAAACCATTCGAAAACAACATTTTTATAGCATCACCTTGGCTCGGTATCGCTATCACTGTTTTTGTTGTCTTGTCAATTTTTTTATACCTTCCGTTTTCGCCCTTACCACAGCAAAACACTTTCGTAAATTAACGTTAGTGAAAGTATTCGGTTCTAAATTATGCTGTTTATCTAGTTTTTCCTCGGTTAGATGAAACTATTTACGGATTTTATCGCGTTTTAACTTGATTTTTGAATTTACGACGTTTCGAACCCTATCCAGCGTTCCTAGTCACGTGACAGACGTGAGTTGTTTCACGTCCTAATGTCAGATTTTGCCGGGCTAACGCTTTTTCTTTCTTGTCTTAATCCTGAATAGAAATAAAGTCGTAGCTCGCTAGTGACTATGTAAATGCAAATTCATTCAGGCTTGATTAGGAGTATTTGTCTTGATGCAGTTTTAATTCCAATATAATTAAAATTCATCTTGAGAGATGTTGTTACCTTTTACAGTATTCTAAAACAACGTAATGCAAATTGAAAAGTCAATCCAACTCTATTTACTTCCGTGTAACCGTGCCTGGGTGTTGATTTAGAAATCCATCCGTTACTCCGCTTTGTTTGTCCATCTGTTCGCCAACATTGCGTTCGGGTTTTTAACTTCGGCAGATGCCGCTTCAATGGACGCTGTTTGACCGCCGTGTAATTTACCCACTAAATTGTCGATACGATCTCTGTCCAATTACATGCCATTTGGCTATGGCATTAAAACAGTCATCGAGGAAATTTCATTGAAGTGTTTTGAGCGATGGTACTTCAGATAGCGTTATAAAAGCCTCGACTCGACTAGGCACGGTATTGTTTTTATACTCAATAGAAACGAACCCGGCAACTCGCGCGTAATAAACAGTGCCCATACAAACTTCAATGCGTCTCATTAAAAACACTTCTTCATTCGTCTCTCTCAATGCTCACTGGTCTCAAAATTCGTTAATACGATTATGAATAGAGACAATAAGTTTTAACAAATCACATTATGCCGTTATACTCCTTTGTTCTGTGTTCCGTATGTTGCAAAAGCTAATGCGTCGCTCTAGATAATGTAATATTTGCAATCTATCATTTGTTGATGTGTTGCGACTTTGGTTCATTTTCTTTATAGCCAGTTGTTGCCTTAACCGAATTGCGTGCTTTATGGAACGGTACGACTTTCTCGTGCGATGCGCGTTATATCACTCCTCGCTTAGGATCCAGAGATGCTTTTAAGATATCGACTTGTTATTTTTAAACAATGGCAACCTCAATCTGATTCTAATTTAATCCAATTGAATAATTCAAGTCTTCTCTTATCGTCCGATTTCGTCATAAGTACACTTTCAAATACTTTTATCGAAGCATCTGACAATCACTTCAAGTCTCGTTAATAATTATTTTTAAAGCAATAAACTTCAAACCGGAAGGAAAGTTGTTTCATAGCTATGCTTCGGCCTATTACATATTTTTTTTCATGTAAAGTCATTCAGGCTCCATTATTTTTTATGAAATAAAAACAAACTGCATTTTTTTAACCACGTGTAATTTATTAATAGTGTAATTCGATTTTTTAATAGATCTTTGTGTTGTCAGGAACTTTATTTATCGTTACATGGATTAACAGAAAATGTTGACAGCCTCACTAACAATAAAGAAATAAGTAATTTATTTCACTTTTATATCTTCGAATATCAAAATCATTATTTTATATTATAACTTTTAAACTTCATAATCAAATTAAAAAAGAAAATAATCGATCTGTATGTAAAAGAAACAGTAACAATCTTTATAGTTAGAAAAACATCACTAGACCCCTATGTAAATATGTCTTAAACGATTTATTAGCACGGAAGATAAAAAGTTTTTTCACTTAAAATTCAATCAAAACCAAACTCGACCTCCTTTGGATACGGGTGGTGTGGGCGGATGTTTAGTCTCATCGGATAGTCTCATGGCGGTTAAGTAAGCACAGAGTAGTTTATTTAAGAGGCTTCATATTAGTTCACAACGAGGTCTTAATTCGATTGTATGATTGCTTAATCCTCAGTTTTAAAAATTGCAAAGCAGAAAAAGACGTTAGATCAGGTAAGGTACCTGCGTTTATAAAACGGTTAGACAATTTGAACCATATTTTGTACTGTGTGCGTGTTTGTTGTGCCAAGCAGATACCTTTACTGTGCGCATGAACGGGCAAGCGCATCCTTCAAAGTACCGCGGCGCGACAGAAGGCCGAACGGATGTATAAGTATTTTCTAGAATTCGTTCATTTAGTGCGGTGCTTAATTTATTAACTTAGACTTTAAAACAAACGTTCGAATAGAAAACAATACAGGCGATTAGTTACATTCCAAGCGTTCTCTGGTGGATAGTTACTCTGTGATTTATAATTTAGTATCGCATATCCGTCCTTCGCCTAGTCACTGGGGGTTAGGCGAGAGCAGCAGCCGTACCGTGTACACAACAAATTTTTTGTGGGGTCACTATTCATTTAAGTTAGGGTCGATATGCCCGGCCATATGCCAAATCTATTTAAAACCTCCTTTGTATTTAATGCGTACTACTTTAGCGGAAGAGTACTTATTATTCATTGCGGTTTTAATTAACTGGTACAGAGAAAATTTTGACTGCGTGAATTTTTTATTCAAACTTTCGTCATTTATTTTACGCCTTTGGATGTATAATTTTTGTGATACGGAGGATGTAAAATATCCAAATTCAAAACGCAAACAAATGCTAATTATATAAAATAACAAAAATTTTGCTTCCCATAGAAACTTTTCTTTGGAAATGAAAGTGGAATAATATTATTTTCAATTCAAAAATGCGGTTTTTTACGTAAATTTTTTTGTCCTATTTAAGCCGCGCAGAGATGGAATCCAGAGATCATTTTAAGTGGTTGTCTGCGGTGTATAAAAGAACACCGCAGACAACCACTTAAAAGACATACAGGCAATATTTCAAATTATTAATCTCAGTGGCTTCAACGGTCTTGTTTGTATGCCGAATTTCTTTTAATTTATATGGAATAAATTATATTATTCAACAAAAAGTAAAATATATTCGTGCAAAATATTCTTATTTTTAAATATTACATTGGCTTTAGATTCCTCTAATACCAATTGACACTAAAATTAATTTATGTTTAACAAACTGCTCATTGTTAAACAAACAAAAACATATAAATAAAACGTACAGTCCCACCAAAGAAGTACTAGGCAAACATGATACGTAATAACTTAAATATATAGAGTCGCAGAGCGCCGTACGTCTCTGGGACCGATTCGTAACGCGCCAAACATGGCACGAATATGCTACGTTTATCACTTCTGAACTCGGCCTAGATTCTGTTAGATAACTATGGAGTTGGCGAGTGAATCATGTTACACATACTTCGGAAAAATGCTGTACTCTATGAATATCTCGCCTGTAGCCTTGAAGCAGATCTACAAAGATCCAGTCAAAAATTAGCGACCAAAAAAAAAAACACAAATTATTATGTATTCTTCGTTTTAGATTGTTAAATAATGAACAAGAAATCTAATACTACAACAACAAATACTAAAAAAAGAATAAAAAAATATTTAAGTGGGCTCCCATAAAACAGACATGATTTTTTTTTCCGTTCTTATAGATAATGGTACGGAACCCTTCGTGCGCTAGTCCGACTCGCACTTGGCCGGTTTTATTTAAATGGTAATAATTATTTTATTTTAAACAGTTTGAATAAAAAAAAAGATTCGTTAAATGACTTAAAAGAAACTAGTATGTATCACTATAAATAATCAGGAACAGTTAAAATAACAGAGCGTCCACACTTGATCAACGTTTATTTCGTTAGTCACAAAAAATTTTTAAGCTACCATCAAATTCATATAATTATTTAAGCGCCTACTTATAATAGAACAATTATAGTCATTGGCACAAGATTGCTATTTTAAATTACAAGTTTTGTTACATTGTTAACATACTTTACACCCTACCACTAAAATACATTATTAAATTAAGGCTAAACTAAGTTGTAACTAAACAATAATAAGTAAACACAAAATAAAAGAAAAAGTAAACAGAATTCCTAATAACTAATATAAACATAATATACTTGCAACCCTAATACATTATTGGATTGCCAAATCTTTCAACTGGTTTCCTAATACGTTTAAGCGGTATCGTATCTGAGTTTTCTGGTGGGAGGGATCGTGATGGTACGTCACTATGTAACTCGGAATTCACTAACGGGTGTGTGGGCCAGAAAATACGTTGTTCTTCCGCCTTGGACACAACATTGTCGCTTCGACTGGGATTCGCCGATAGTACCGTTTTATGATTTGTGCGTAGTTGATCTACATGGCGTCTGATACATTGCCCATCTTCTGTTTCTACGATATAGTATCGAGATCCTATCTTATCTCTTACCCTACCACTTAACCAATTTTTGTTTTGCCGGAAATCTCTTATCCAAACTGGGTCTCCGACTTGAAAGTTTCGTTGGGTGCCCCTTGCATTTTCAACTTGTTTTCTTTGTGCCTCAAGGACTCTTTCTTCAGTAGAGCTACCTATTTTTGGAATACGCAGTAAATCAAGCCTCGATCGTAGTCTTCTGTGTAATAATAGTTCTGCTGGTGACTTTCCTGTGGTGTTATGTATTGCATTCCTATATGTAAAGAGGTACGTTTGAAGAGCTAAATCAATATCACAGTTCTCTCTTATAGCTTTTTTCATTGCCCTTTTACACAACTTAACGGCGTTTTCCGCAGCACCATTAGATGATGGATGATAAATAGGCGTGAAAATATAGTTTCCGTATTGAGTAAAAGTGAACTCTCCACCTTATTACTATTACATTGTATAGCATGTAAACTAATGCCTAATTCTTGTAACCACTGTCTACCGAGAAGCGGATTACTTCCACTGTGCACAACAAATAAATCTAATTTCATACATTTATCGTTATATTCTACCACTGGGGAAATTTTTCCCACCGGAAAGATTTTTTCTCCTGTATAATATCGCATTACTAAATTGCTTGTTAACAAAGGTAAATCAAAAAACATTTTTTTATAACATTCGTAACTTACACATGAAATGGCGCTACCTGTGTCTATTTCCATTTTTAAATATTTACCGTTTACCTTTAAAGATAATGTGTACGGTTTATAATGTTTTAAATTTTTTATATTGAAAACGTTAAAGTTTACCTCCCTAATTTCTTCATCGGTGTCCTCTCCACTCGAGGTTTCTTCGAGTCGTTTCACCGGCTGGGCACACACCTGGCCTGACCGGTATTTTGGACACACCTTCATAAGGTGCCCCTCTTTATTGCACACACGGCATGTGTACAATCTAAATTTGCACGTTGAAGTACTATGCTGCCGACCGCATGCTTGACATCTAGCCTGCTTCTCTCTAACTGGTACCAAAGCTGAAGTGGTCTGCCGTGCAGCTCCACCTCGGGTCAATCGGCCACTGCTAAACGAAGAACGATTTGGTGTGTTGCGGCTACCTCTCGTTCTGTTGGCTGTCTGCTGCGCGCACCTTGTGACTTCATTAGCTTCATTGTGGTACTCTCTCTCTCTGTTATATATTCCCGATCGTGATTACTCATTACTGCAGTCGCATTCTTTGCTGCTGCTTCCATAGATATAGCGAGCTGATATACCTTCGCAAAAGTCGGAGTACTCTCGCAACTAAACACCTGCTGCCTTATAAATTCGTTCTTGATTCCACAAGCAAATTGATCTCTTAAATTATCGTCTAAGCAGTCTGTAGTGAATTCACAGCTTTTTGCTAGCTTTTTTAAATCTGCGGCATACTCGGCTAGAGATTCGTTCTGTAACTGGTTTCTTTGTCTGAACTTATACCTTTCTACTAAAATATTACATTTTTGGTTGCAGATGATTTTTCATGATGGTCACTAAGTCATCAAAAGACTTTGCAGCCGGTTTTTCCGGCATGCACAAAGTTACCAAAAGATCATAACTTTCTGATCCCATAATTGTTATTAATGTGGGCACTTTTAATGATTCTTTAACGTCATTCACTATAAAATATTGTTCGAGACGTTCAATGTACAAAGTCCAGTTATCCACATTTACATCGAACTTTTCTAATTTTCCAATAGACATTTTTACAAATATATTAAACACTCACGTGGATCGTAAAAAATAACTCGTCGCCAGTTAGTATGTATCACTATAAATAATCAGGAACAGTTAAAATAACAGAGCGTCCACACTTGATCAACGTTTATTTCGTTAGTCACAAAAAATTTTTAAGCTACCATCAAATTCATATAATTATTTAAGCGCCTACTTATAATAGAACAATTATAGTCATTGGCACAAGATTGCTATTTTAAATTACAAGTTTTGTTACATTGTTAACATACTTTACAGAAACACCATTAAAAATGTTGTTTATCTTCAATGTGTGTGTTTTTTTGCAATTAAATGAGAACATTTCATACGAGAACAAGTCATTTGTAAAACTTGTAAATCTCGATCGAGTGGTGAAGTCGCTAAAACGATGTGGTTCCACGACATCATGCTGTGCCTATCTCAGCTATGCACTCGATCTTCCTTCCGATTGCTACACGCGTAATGAGTTAATTTCTGAGAAGTTTTCATCGTATTTCATACAATTTATATTTTAGTGTATTTCGTTTTATTTTTAAAATCTTTTGAACAAACAGACCATTAATTCACAAAGGTATACTTTATATTATTCATTATATACTTTTTACTTACACATACCCGACAACATCGACGACCCGAATGGCGTAGTCGGTAGTGTACCTGCCTTCTGCGCCAGAGGGTGTGGGTTCGATCCCCACTACTGGAAAAATATTGTGTGATGAGCATAGTGTTTTTCTAGTGTCTGGGTGTTTGTATATGTATAATGTGTATTTATTTACAAAAGAAAAGTATGTTTAAGTATGTCTATCAGTTTTCTAGTACCCATATAGTACAAGCATTGCTTAGTTTGGGACTAGAGACCGCTGTGTAAAAAGAATGTGTCCTAAAGATATTTATTTATTTATTTATTATTATTATTATTATATGGAAATAAATGATAACTATTATCTATTAAAATGACTTAGACAGTTGTTTGAAAATTTCGGTACTAGTACTTAGAACGATTACCGCTGCTCATATATTACTTTACGTTTGAGATTTTAAAATGCCCGGTCAAGGTTGATACGCTCGTTGATTTTGTCCGTTAGTTTAGCACGGCTCAATGCATCGATTTGTACGATTAAATTATTGAACCGACATTACAAATGCTGCGGTCGTTGTTTGTTCGTGTTCATGTTGACAAGTGTCGCTTTAGTTTACACATTGTCATATTAAATTTGATATTTTATAAAAATTACCTTTTTTACAAGTCTGTTAACAATGAATGCTACGCTACATAAACTTGAAACATATAAATAGTTCCATTTAGTAAAGGATTTTATTGCGATTAATTAATTTAATTAAATTTCTATATATATACCTAGGTAGTCTTTTGAAGAGTATTCTATTAGATATTTCTGGTATTCTGGTTTCCTCATGAGCCTGAATGCTTAGATTTATTATGTGAAGGGCGCGAGTTGTGAACGGATGTTTAAAAGTTGAAATTATCAATTTATACTCACCCTTCTGGATAACAACAAATGCGTCATGTGTGTGTTTCTGTTTACATAATATATACGGTTCATTGGCACGATAAAAGTTAGAAAAGAAACAAAAAATGTATTAACATCGAACCCCATAAATAATTGTTTCCGGACAATAAGAAAATCGATTTGAGCATGAAAACGACCCTTAATTCCCTACCAATTAGGTGTATATTTCCGGCAACTAAAAATAATTATTTTGTTTCTTCTATTATATCTGTTCCTGTATAATTTTTTTGTGCTTCGACTTTTTTCTTAGGGGAAGTCATAGTAATCAACATCATTACTAGTACTTTGTCTCCCTCTTCTACAAACTTATCCTATGCAGTTTTTTTTATCATAAAAGACCTTATGATAAAATAAATAAATATTTTAGGACACATTTTTACACAACGTTCTCTAGTCCCAAACTAAGCAACGCTTGTACTATATAGGTACTAGATAACTAATAAACATACTTTTAATTTGAAAATAAATGCATATCCTTACTAATGTTATAAAGGCGAAAGTTTGTATTTATGGATGGATGTTTGTTACTCTTTCACGCAAATACTACCGAATGGATTTTAACGAAACTTTACAATAATATAGCTCATAAATGAGAATAAGACATAGGCTTTATAATTTATAATCATGTTTTATGTATATCTGTTTTTCTGTTTGAATGTTACGCCCTCAGCCTATCCTACGTAGTCGCGGGCAGCAGCTAGTTATACATATATAAACCTAGACCCAGACACTGGATAGACATTATGTTCATCAAACAATATTTTTCCAGTAGTCGGGATCGAACCCACACCCTCTGGTGCAAGAGGCTGGTTCATTAAACACTACGCCAAACGGGTTGCACACTATAAAAGTATAAACCTTTATTTAAATTTTTTTTTTTTGTGAAATCGCCGGATGTCTTTCGTTTCCATGAAATCTTCCATTGATAATATACCGCGCGAGCCCACGCACGTAGTGTTCCAGTCATGAATTCAAATTTCGTGCGCCTCTTTGAAGTGCTACGGTCCCGCGCTGCGTTCTCTTCAAGGTTCCGTATCGCAATCAGAAGGAAAGGAACTCTAAAAAGATCGATCCCACTGTTCCCCTTCTCAAACCTCCTCGAAGAGGTGTAATTTACACCAATTACGACCACAGTGGTCGAGGATCCTTTGTAACATTATTTCAGTTCCTCAGTCAATGCATATTGAATTCACATGCGAACTGTCTTTATTATTGTTACCCTCCACATTTATAATAAATATACCGTCAATGACCATTTAAGAGACTTACTTTGAAGCAGGCTCACATAACAAAACTAGTGCCTACAGTTTACATAGTGTTGGCAACACTAAAGCAAGTCATTCCTTGAGGTTGTTGGCAATACTAAAAGAAGTGTCATTCTGTGGGGTATAAATGAAGCTGCAAGAAGCATTCTGGGGCCGTCATCGTGGTCTTCGTCGCCGTCGTCTTTCTCTGGCTGCCGACAAGAAGTATACGCGATAGTGCTGCCAAATCGGTATCACAAATTAAATCGTTAGAGTGGTGATTAGTGATATTAAAGTGAGAAAATAAGTAATTATACCAGTGTTATTGTTGTGCAAAGTGAAACTACGGTAATTTGGTAAAAGTATTTATATTTCTACCTTCTTAGCTCGATAAAACAAAGTATAGCTAACAATAGACTCAAATTTGTCAAAGTCTAACTAATACTGTGAAGAATTAATGCAATATTAAAAAAAGTTAGTAAGTATTCATAAATGACAATATACTCGTATTTGATAATAATTAAATTGTATACACACTGATTCTCACAACAAGTATAGGAATAGAAAACACCCGCAAATTGTTAATCACTATTCTTTAATGTTAGTTTTCTACGGAACCCTCGGAGCATGACTCCGTGGCGCAGTCGTCAAGGTGTTGGCTTCAGCGTCGGCGGTCGTGGGTTCGATTCCCACACGGGACAACTATTTGTGTGACCCACAGATAGTTGTTTCGCATCTGGGTGTTTGTCCAAGTGAAATTTATGTATGTAAAACGTCCTTTTGCAACACAGGATAATGTTATCCTAAAGTGAGGGAAATATTTTTAACAAAAAAAAAACATATCCGACTCTCAACCGTCCGGTTGTTTTGTTTTTTTCTAAAATTTCCAAAACCACCTTGTGACACTGCTTTCCGCGGTAGACGTGGGTTCGAATCTCGTTTCGTTTTCTCTCTGCTTCGATCGGCCGCAACGCTTTCCATTTACACCGGCCGCCGCGTGTGATGGTCAGTTTGAATTGGCTCACTCTATTAACGATTCAAAGTCGTCGTGTTAGCCAATAAAAATGGTAGCCCCGATACCGATTAAGATGGTCGAAATGACGACATTCATTAACATAAACTCTCATTCAATTTTAGCATTTAATCAATTGTCATTTGAATACATTTTTCTTTAAGGGTTTTTATTAATATGTAGTACGGGTTTCTGCTTTCATTTTCATTGTAAAGCAGTTAAGAGTTATTAATTTTGTAACTTTTCTACTCTTTTAGTCATTGATAATAATTGGTTTATTTATAATCTAATAGTAATCGACAGAAATCGATTAAAATCTTTGTTATGTTACAAAGAGGTCAAATTAATTGTTTGTACCCAATAAGTAATATGTTCAAAGACTCGTCCGATTTCACTAATGAAGACCTACGTTATTATTGAATAACACAGGCCATACTTTATGTTTGAATAAAATTACAAATTTTCTGATTTTCATACACATTACATCCATATTAATTCTATCACTTGTATTATTTAATTCTTTAATATTCGTGTTACTTCTCTTTGTTGCCATTGAATTTGCACGTTATGCAATTTCCACAATATGTCGTTAGGCTCTACGCCACAAAGCCAGCTATCCATTAAGCGATAGGCTAGTATATCTGAAAAAAGTCATTTTATTTCCATATACCACAATCAGCCACAAATATATGAAAGAATTCTCAAATTAGCACATAGATGCATGTGGCCTTAATTTCTCTCCGAAGGTTTGTTGACCCATCATCAATATTTATCCGGCACCGCATATCTTGTGGCCACTAATCTGAAATCACATGCTAAGCAAATTAGAACGGCGATAAAACTAGAATATATATATATATATATATATATATATATATATTTGGTTTGCTTACGTTCCGCTTCGCGATATACGTTGTTGATATCGTTAGTTTGCATGGAAACTTATCTGATAATTATGTCTCGGGTTGTGCAACCGAGCAGTCGATCTTACTATTACAAAACATAGATTGGCGAGTACAAACATTTTATTACTCTACGTACGTAACGTACTCTACGTACGTAAACATTTTATTACTTTACGTTTCAATATATTTATGATTTTTATTTTAAGTAAACCTCATTTCATGTATAATTATAAAAAAATATAGTGATATTTCTTATAAAATAGCATTGAAATACAATTTTAAATACGATTTTTGAGCACGTTATTTTAAATATCTCTACAGACATACATCTATCCATATGCATGGCAATTCCATGGTATGTGTCAAAAATCACGCGCAACTCAGAGTCGGGCAACAAATTCGACAAAAACTGAAACACTATATATCTTAAATATTTTTTTTATATTCATTGCGATGACTGCACCAGATGAAATAAACATTACACCTTTCTCTCATGAACCAACGTATAACGCTTCATACAAAATTGTCTGGTTTTGCTAATACGCAAATAGTTCTGCTGCGTAAATGACGGTCTTGTCACATTTGATACAAATAGTTGGCCGTCTGCTCCAGTCTAGTTAACGGATGCAGTGTTTCTACTATCGTGTCCACGTGGTGGACCCGTTATAGCCTCGCGCGATTGTCCATGTGTCTACACTCTATCATGTTACATAGACTACGCACGTAGACTTTGATTGGTGTAGGTTAATTTCTCGTATTAGGTGTTATAATGGCATTAATAAAGATTATAATATCACCATATCATAATATTTATAACTGCCATTATAGAAGTTTGCCCATGCAAAAGGGGCAGAGTAGGAAGGCGCGTTTCATTTTCCAAACGTAACATGACCTAAAGAAGAGAGAGGAACTCCTCTTCCAAGAAGGAGCTGCTCAGGTGGCTAGCGCTGGCAAAGTCCTGTGAAAATGTGTTCCTGTAGCATCATATTCAATATCATATAAATAATTTAACTTACTTCAAACTTCTAAGAGACTTTGGGACTTCCCCGCACGAGTATATCTATCCGCAACACCGAACCTTCTCAAGCTGAGCAAGCTTAAATCTGCCTCTAGAGAAAATCATACCTTTTATTGTCACTCAGTAGCCACATACTCAGACCAACGACCATTTGAACAGCGTTGTTCCGCGATAAATCGAATAATATGTCACAAACTGGCATACGATAATCGGTCTGTGCCGTATTTGCGCCCCATCTGATAGGCTATAACGATTGCTACAATTCAATGGGCATTATATGAACATAGTAATTGCACCATTACTCAAACTCGAAAGTTGCCCCGATCCGAAACAGTGGATGACTTTCTATGCACTTATTCGATTCTTTACAAGCGTCCAGTTTCTAATTAACTGAAATCAAACAGTTCCAATCAATGTTCGCCTGCGGACTAGTTATTCAAATCGACCCGCTCTGTTATTACTCGTGTCTTGTTTTGTAGATTAATATTAGTTTAATATAGGCCAGTGACATTTGATACGAGAACCAGAAACATGGTTGCGAATTTAATAGCGAACGATGCGTCATGTTCAGTTAATGATCTCACGCGAGACGCGATCTGTGATCATTTCTACTATTGCTGAATATTTCTCGTATTTATGTTTTCACAATTTCATTGGTACCCTTTTAATTATTCGAGACGTTGTTTTGCAATTTAGTTATCTTTCAG